TTACCATCATCGCGGTTAAAAGTGTTTCTAAGTGTACGCAGAGGTGCTCGAACAATGGGGAAAAGGAATTGGATCTTGTTATTGTGTGTTTAGAAGATGAAGAGAGTCTTCTAAAGGCCTAATACTCATTTGCATTTATCATATTGTTTCTATGGAATTCTGAGCAGGACATGTGAGATATGCGACGCAATGGCTACACTCAAACCCAGTGAGCACTGCCTCTGCCAATTCACAAGCAGGACAACAATCTCAGAGTCGGACAGAGCCACAGGCACGGTCGAGAGGCATTACATCTTTGGCTTTGAAAACTAGTGATAGATAATTACTGGACAATAGTTGTGTTAAATCCTCTGTTTTTTCTTTTACCACTCTTTAAACTTTCTGTCCAAAGAAGAAATCACTAGCAGATAAAGATCATGGACATATTGTTGATTCAACGATATTGGCAAATGGTTTTCGCATTACAAAATAGACAACAAAAAAAGTTATAAACTAGATTGGAAGCTTATCTTTCTCTACTTCAATTGTAAATTCTTCAAATCGATCCATGAGGACTTTAGTAAACGTGTCCCGGTCCATCTGGATCAGATCCTCCGCTTTGACGGGATCCTTTTCCATTAGCCAAGATGCAACTTCTGTCACCGTTGGGTTAGATTCGAAAAATTCCTTTGCTTCTTCAATCCGCTTTTCCTCCTTCTCTTCATCGATCTTAACTAAGACTCGATGATTTCCTGGTTTCTTTACTCTAGTATACTTTAAATAGCCAGCCACAAAAACCAGTAACCAGAAAACAGAAATTAATTACACATGTTCAATCCAGATTAACTAACCAAACATAAATGAATCGAGACAAAGAAGTACCTCAGGAGGAACCACAGCAGCAGCTCTCACAACCAAAGGACGGAACTGGCTCTGCCTAAGGGTCCCCGGTTTCAAAGTTCCGAAAGAAGAAAACTTGACACACGAAGCTCTAAGACCTTCAAGCGAAGCTAAGCTCCTTGCTGACACAGACATGCTGTAAGTTGAGTAGACGCCATTTCTACAATCTGTAAGAACACACAACAAATTGAGAGAGAATCAGAAGCAAACAGTTGTGTTCAACCCAGATTTGTCATAATATTCAGTGAGAAAACTTAAAAGATGCTCAAGAAGTAACTCTGACCAGAAGAAATATAAACTGATAGGGCAAGAGACAATACATCAAGCAAGATTCAAGTCTCAGTCATGACAAAAAACAAAGCAAGCTTCACACAGTTACTAAAAACCACAGCAGATGAAACATGCTCCAAGCAAAAAGAAAGCAGAAAATGGGCAAAAATACTGATCAGGTCATTGAGGAACAGAGCAGTGCTAGAGATGAGCACTACATACAAAGAACAAACTCGTCAATGACCCCTATACTCATGACAAACAAGAATCATTCGAGTCATACTTAAGCGGATAAAGGAAAAGCAGAACAGATTAAAGTCATATTAGGGAACAAAGGATAAACTTTTGAGCAGATAAAAGATTCGAACACCTCATACAAACAGAATGATGATATATGTAAAAACATGGTGAACAAGGAAGACATGTACGTGCACATGAAGAAATCCATGACC